TTTTGTTTTGTTTTGTTTTGTTTTTTGTTTTTTTTTTGCTGTCTTTCAAACTTGTTTATAAAACATTCATGTCTAGTCATTTTCAAGGAGTGCAATTCAAAACAGCGGCGGTCAAAATCAAAATCAAGATAACGCTTCATTATAAGTTATGAATAAGGAATCCAAGTCAGTGCTTGTGTTGACCACAATCCTTTCGTATTTGACACAGGAATCCTCTAACAATCAACTTCATTTCCCTCTGCCCTTCTTCAAGGGAATCCAAGAAGCGTTTTGGTGGTCTTTTGTTACTATGACAACTGTTGGGTGAGGTTACTTACTTCCTTACAAATCAATAATGTCATTTGTGCATGTAAATAATCCGTTCCTTGGAAAATCTAACTTTAACAATAAATCTATTGTAGCTGACACAGAGGGGAAAATAATGAATTTTTCTGCTCTCAGAAACGATTCTAAATTTCAGTCTTTGCTGGTGTTGTTTGGTGTTATTCTTAAAGCTTTTCTTGCATAGATATGGTGATCGAGTTCCGAAATCCATCCCAGCTCGTCTGTTTGCAGTCGTATGGTCACTGATGGGCATAATATTAAGCTCCTTATTGACCAGTGCGTTGACGTCATCATTAATCGTTACTGTAGTCACGGAGAATCTCCATGCAGAATCTGGAAAAAAAGTACGTTACTGTTATAGAGAAATTTCTTTAGAATTATTTCACTTTATCTGTATTCAAGAGAAATGATTTTTTTTTCATACAAAATGTAACACTTGAGGTTTACTAGCAATCTTAAGTAATCACGGCGGTTGTTATGTTACCATTTTGTTTTCAAGGTATATTTATGCTTTAAGTTGTTGCTTTTTCCAAGATTGCGGCTGTAGCAGACACAGTGGAATATCTTCTTGTGCAGCAAATGACAGGCAAATCAGGGAACGGTAAGAAACAAGATGGTAAATTATCTTTTTAGATCTCACTGTATTGTGTTGTGTTAATACCATGCATCAACATTTTACACCTATTTCAGAAAACGTTGTCACACCAAAAGCCTCGAGCAACAAGACAAGACCGCAGAGAAGGCTGTTACTTTTAGCTGTAATTAGTTTATTCATGGTGCATTTTCATAGCCAATTGCATGAACCAAGAATAAATCAATTATAATTAAAAGTACCGACGTTCTCTGGAGCCTTGGCTTGTTACTTGAGGCTCTTAGTGCGACAACGATTTTCGAAATAGGTGTATATATGTATGATGATGTTACGAGGGGTAGAGGTGATTAGGTGTCGCTTTTATTTTTCAATTGAAGAAAGTGTAAGGATAGGGCTGGTTATTGTTCTGACGTACTAAATTTGACTGTTTTAGCTGTTAGCTTCACAAACCTGGAACCATTATTCAGTGCTCTAGAAAACGGTCAAATCGAAGCAGCAATGGTCGACATTCACACAGCATTCTTCTATAAAAGCCTCTTTTTCAAGTCGAAATTCAAGATTAGCAAGGTCATCCAGCATGATTTCACGTACGGAGTTTTGATTGGAGGAGAGGCGTCCAGACTGATAGATCTTTTTAGACAGCAGATTGACATGGAAAATACGAATACCATAGACTACCTAAGAGAGATGGAAAGAGCTCAAGACAACGAATTCAAGGTATAGCATAAATTATCTTTTTATGTTCGTTCAGTGGAAACTGGGGAGGTAGGGAGGCAGGGAGGCAGGGAGGCAGGGAGGCAGGGAGGCAGGGAGGCAG